GAAATGGTTATTACCTAGTTATCATTTTCAGTCTTTTAAAATTCGCAAACTACACCATTACGTACACAAACACATACATATAAACATAGAGATAGAAGGAAAACAACCATAGTGAAAAGTGTATATGAAATGGAAGATTATGATATAATGGTGATTACTGAAACTTGGTTAGATTTGGAGAGCACTGATAACAGGAATTATTTTGAAATTCCAGATGATAACTTAACATTGATAGACCTTTCAAAAGAAGGTTGGGCTACTCTTTGTATGAGGGCTGAATTGCAGCATTTTGAGACTGAAGGTATAAATGTTTGTGTTCAATAGGTTGAGACTACATGGGTTTCAATGGTAAAAAAACTTTTAATTGCTAATTGTTATAACAATTATAAGCTAGTTGATCAGACAACAAATGTCAATGAAGACTTGTGTAATGAGATCAAATCCGTTATTAAACGAGTGCTGATGCAATAATTCTGGGGGACATTAGTTTCAGACACATTGATTCTGATTGTATGGAGCCAAGTTACACAGGATGATTTTATATACCGAACGATCAGAGAACCAACTAGAGGAGATGCAAGTTTATTGTTAACTTCTAATGAGGATATATAGTTGAAATAGTGAGGCATTTGGGGAAATATGATCATTGCACAATTAGGTTTGATGTTTTGCTGCATGTTGAAATATATATATATATGAAATTTTATTTCCTTATATTTCAGAAATTAGGTTATGAGGCCATGAGATAAAATTTATCTTTAGTGAATTGAGTTAATGTGTTTAAAAGGGGATGTAAGACAGAGTTGGGATTATTAGTTTTAGATAAATTGATTTTAATTCAATATAGGCACATTCCTAAAAAGACGGGTAAAGAAGCTCAAACCTATTTGGTTTATCAAAGACGTAAAGGAGAAAATCGGGGATAAATGGCCTCATTTTAAGAAGTTTAATTTTACAGTTAGAATAGAATATTGGCAGAAATGTAGATAAACTAGAATTTGGGCAAAACATAAGTTAGGAAATCCAAAATGGCTTCTGAGAAACAGCTAGCTGGTAATGTTAAAACTAACAACAAGAAACATTTAAATATGTTAAAAGAAAGCAAATGTTAAAACGAAGACTATAAAATGGTTAAGATTTTAAATGTTTTATTCTCTTCTATCCGTATAACTGAATGTATTAGTAATATGTATTTCTGATCCTGGGTATTACATGAAAAATATTGGAATTGACTTCAGCCATGTAGATATTGATCCCTTGGTGGCAAAGTAGCAAGACTGGGAGATTAAGAGTGGATAAAGCACAAGAACCAGAAAACATGAAAAATATTGGAATTGACTTCAGCCATGTAGATATTGATCCCTTGGTGGTAAAGTAGCAAGACTGGGAGATTAAGAGTGGATAAAGCACAAAAACCAGAAAAGAGTTTCCCGAAGGTTTAAAAGGAGGTCAAATATCAGATATGTTAGCCTTTCTCTTTCATTTTTAGTATAGGTCAACATACAATGACCTGGTGCCTGAAGATTGGAGAGTTGCTTATTTTATTCCTATTTTTTAAAAGGAATGATAACAGTTATTTTGGAAATTATAGGCCAGTTATTCTTACTGCAGTAATAAGAACATCTGGAGAGAATCTGATATAAGAAATTCAAAAAAAAAAAAACGCGTAGCGAAATATGATATCATAAAAGAAAGCCAAAATGAATTCACTAAATAGAAATCTTGCCTTACAAATCTGTTAACATTTTGGACCATGTCAGGTGTTACTTGGACAATAGAAAATCACAATAGAAAATCACATCAGTAGGTGTTGCGGAAGATTAATTATTGGGTGTATATGGTAATTGGATGAATGAAAGCAGGTTCTATACAGCTAAGAAAATCACATTAGTAGGTGTTGCAGAAGACTAATTAGTGGGTGTATATGGTAGTTAGATGAATGAAAGCCAAATGTTGTTATTAATGGAATCCAGTCAATCTGGGTCATTTTTGCTAGTGGAATGCCACAGTGGTTGGGTCTTTGTTTTTTCCTTATGTGCATTAATGGTATTGATAGGGCATAATTAGTAAAGTTTGCTAATGACGTGAAACTCTGAGGTATTTCAAGCTGTATTATGTGTTGAAGTAGGGTAGATCAGGTGGACCTTATTCTTTAAATAAGGAAACATAACTAATTAATTAATAATTAATTAACTAACTAATTAATTTTTCTACTCACATAGAATATCGTCTATGCTTATAAAAACCACTGTATCTCTTACAGTTTCTAATATACAGCTTATGTATTAACGAAAAGTTAGTTGTCACAATTAGTTTCCTTAACGGGGTGCTGTTTTGACACCTAATGGGATACATTCTTAACCTGAAAGAATTGGTTGGAACAAACAACTAAATTATCAAATGATATACATTTGTGGATATTGGGTTAGCCAGTAAAAGATCCTACAAAACAAACTTCTATGATCGAAGTGGGGTTTTAAGAAATACGACCTTTCTTTATAACTTTTCTTCTGAGGAGTTTTCACTGCCAGAAGGTGATTTTCATGTGTTTCTGTTAATGTAGCGGTATGGCGTTTGTTTTTTCTTACTCGGGATTTTTTTTCTATGATTGGCTTTTCTAAAAAATCAAAGCATTTCTGGCAACTTCACTAGTTCTATAGAGTAGCTCTGCAATAAGTCAATCATGTTTATCACCAGGCATAGCAAAAACATCTCAATCATCGTTGCTATGTTTCACATAATAAGTGTTTTCATACCTTCTATGTCCTCTTGTTCGCATATATACTATACAAGCTACAATGGAAACCCTACAGAACGTTGTTATTTAAAAAAAGGGAAATTTTTATGACAACTTAGGCAAACTTGTAAAAAATATTGGGATGCACTCACGTGTATATGGCCTTGTATTGCATTTAAGTCATCATAACTTGGAT